CTCGGGACCGCCCCGACATCAGATCGTACTCCGGAAAGCATATAACCTACATCGGGTCATGCCCGGCATCGGGCCGTGACCCGGAACTACTAACATCTAAACGAGCCAGTATTGTGGCCTTAGACCCGTTCCTACTGGAGAAAAGTCATCTTGCAAAGCAGTCTGCAAAAACTCACAGTGAGGAAATATCTGATATCTGCTCCAACGACTCCCCGGCTATCAATATCACAATAATACTTAGTTAAAAATCTGATAATCCTTCTCATGGTAAAATGACCATTTTACCCTTGGTCCAAGTTAACATCCTAGTCAAAGTCAAAGTCAAGGTCAACTCCCAGTCAACCCCAACTCGTCGAGTAATCTCCCAACTCGGCGAGTTCATGTCCTACTTAGACTCGTGGTCAACCGAGTCAACTCGTCGAGTCCCTTCCTAGATTCGTCGAGTTCTTCCTGTCATATAATCGGGACACGACGACTTTAACTTGTCGAGTCCCTCCTTGGACTCGTTGAGTTCTTTAGTTTTCGAGTCCTAATATTGCCCAACTCACTGAGTCATCTCCTATACTCAACGGTTTCACTCGAAACCAGAAAAGGGTTAGGGGTCCACGCCCCGACTCGCCGAGTCACAAGAACAACTCCTCGAGTCCCTCAAATGCCAAAACCATACAGTCGATTCTAATCCGTTCCAATGCTTCCAACTCATAGATCTGTACTCTTTACACTAGCATTACACGTAAAGTTGCTAACTTTACGTCCATGCATGGTGTTATGAAGCTAAAACACCCATTACAAGCTAAAAAGAAGGTCTAAGTCATGGAATAGGGCCATGGCTGAATAAAGGTGGCAACTTTAAGCTTCTAAAGCTCAAGATTGCCCGGATCTGAAGTCCTTACATCCCCAAGAGTTCCAATCTCGGAAATGACTTTGGAAATGGCCCAAAAGTGACAATATGCAAGCTCATAAGAATATCTAAGCGAATAGAAGCCAAGGTATAAGCTTTATTCCTGAATCAAGTCATAAATGAGTCCTAAGCACTGGATCTTCAGCCTTCCTTCTGCAACTCCAAGTCCTAGCTTCCTTCTTCTAGGTTTAAATCACAAAAATGGAAAAGAAATAGCTCAAGATCACTCTAGGTTGATTACGGTTTCGAGATTAGGGTCTGGAGGTCATAGAGGCAAGGGTGGAGGCCAGATATGATGCTTAAATATGGTGCAAGCCCTAAAGATTTGGGTTTCATCCAGGCTGTCCTACTCGTCGAGTCAAGACCCCGAATCGTCGAGTAGCTCATTTAAAACCGTCGCATATACTGCCTTCTACTCGACGAGTTAGGGCCACCAACTTGTCGAGTAGCCCTTCCAAAATGAATAAATATTTAAGTTAAATATGTACCAGGAACCAGGCGTTACAGGATTCTTTGACACACAATGTATGTCGTGAATGCGTATCATAAATTTGGGTTGTAAGGTTACGACATGCTAATGCGTGTCGTCTTCTTTTATGACAGGGGCTTCCTTGACACACATTTGCGTGTCATCAGACCCTTTTTTGACACACAATGCGTGTCATTAAAGGGTATTTTTCTAGTAGTGTATTAAAGGTCCTATAGGAATTATTGATGATCTTGAAAGAATTAGAAGCAAGTTTCTCTGGTGAAGTAACGAGAATAGATCAAAAATTCATTGGGTGGCATGACACATTGTTCTTGCACCCAAATGAAAAGGTAGTTTAGGTGTAGGCTCTCTTAAAATGAAGAATCTTGCTCTATTAAGTAAGTGGTAGTGGTGGTGGTTAAATGATGGTGTAAAACAATTCATAGCATTCATAATATTGATAAAATACCGATTTACCATTTTTCCAAGAAATCAGCTACACGGCATGGAACAACATCGCTAAGAGCATCACCGGTCTCGGATTAGTAAATATTGCCTCAGATGACTTATTCTTTCTAAATATAAGTTCTGGATGTTCTAGTATTTTTTTGGAAAGATATCTAACTGGGACCAACCTCTCTTCAATCCCAATTTCCCACTCTTTATGAGTTGGAATCTTCGAAATTTTGTAAAATTGCTGATCGATGCTTTGTTTGCTATATGTCATGGTCTTGGAAGTCTACTACTAGTAGCCCTACCGACATCAATGAACTTAGTGAGCTGATCTCCCCTATGACCTCCTTTGCCTTTGCTTCAGAACCGAACAATTTTTGTTTTAAAATGGTGGTCAATTTTCGGTCGATTCCATGATGAAATTTTTAGACTCAAAATCTAATACATTCACAAGGCCCATGATTGTTTAGATTAAACAGGTACCCAAAAAGGTTTTGTGTTTTATTCGAAGAGCAAGAATCGGTAGAATCCTTGTTGTTGAGATGTTAATACTTCGTGGTGTTAATGTTTAATATTTGGATTGCAGCTTATGCAGATTAGGTCTAGAATCAGTTAATCATCGGTTCTTCCAATGTAATTACACCTCTATGGCTTGTGTTTGGATATTGAAATGGTGTGGTCTTCCTTATATATAACTAGATATGTTGCCCATGCTCCGCATGGGCCGTGTGCGTCTGATTTGAATGTCGTTTTTGTTTATAGATTAATAGGCGTCGTTGTTGATTATTTTAGTTGTCTTTGGATTATTTTCATACGGATAAACAGTTGGAGACGGATAGATAGAGCGCATGAAAAAAACAAAAAAGTAAAATATGAGGACCAATATAGAAAAAATATACAAAAAGAAGAAAATTGCAGACACTGAAAGTGCAAGGATGAAAACAGTCAAAAAAACGTGAGTTTCACTATTCCTAACTCGTTGTTGACTATTTTAGCGAAAAAAACCCGAGCTTTTCCCCGGGCCATTTTTTGTGTTTTTTATGAAAAAATATAAAAGTTTTGACTGTAAGGACCAAAAGTGTCAAAATGGCTAATGATTTAAAAGGGTTGGAATTAGCAAGTTTTTAGAAAAGGGACCAAAGTTTTCAATTCCTTAAAGTTTTGTGGTCAAACTTTGAATATTAAAAGGGTAAAAAAAATGTAAAATATTTGATTGCAATGACCAAAAGTGCCAAAATGGCTAAAGAATGAGGGGCAAAGTTGACAAAAAAAACATGATTTAAAAGTTTTGACAGTAAGGACCAAAAGTGTCCAAATGGCTAAAGAATTAAAGGGGTTGGAATTAGCAAGTTTTTAGAAAAGAGACCAAAGTTGTCAATTCCTTAAAGTTTTGTGGCCAAAGTTTGAATATTAAAGGGTTCCAAAAAAATGTAAAAATTTTGATTGCAAGGACCAAAAATGTCAAAATGTCTAAAGAATAAAAGGTAAAGTTGACAAAAAAACATACCAGTTTATTATTCCTAACTTTGAAAATCATATATATATATATATATATATATATATATATATATATATATATATATATATATATATATATATATATATATATATATATATATATACCTTAATAAGCATTTAGCCCTAAATGCTGAATTTTAAGAGGTACAATTCCTTATGAGATTTGTACAATGAATTTATACGCTAAAATCTTATCTGATCGACAACGACTCAGTCCCCTTAATCCCGGATCTATGGTTATCTAAACAAACTGATTCTACGGCTTCCCCTATATATCAAATCTTTTCTCCCTGTTTTTCTGGTTCTCACGCTCTTTTCTATTTAAAATTTAGAAATCTTTCGTCTCTATAAAATGCTCCCCTTCTCTCAACCATCTCCCCTTCTCTCTAACCCTAATTAGCTGCCAGTCACACCATCTGATGATGTTGTTTGTTTTTCTAAGGCTATAGTTGCTCACTCTTTTTTAATCTCATATTCCATAACAATCTTTTACTCTACCGATTGCATGTATTCCTAGCAGTCGATTCATGGAGACGATGAAGAAGAACTGGATTTGTATGGGGCTTCTTAACTGATCTATTGTCATCTCTATTGCTTGCTTCGATTGACCATATCGATCTGTTTCTTGGGGATTCAGATCTAAATCTCCATTGGTGATCTGTATCTTGGGTTTTCTTCTAAGAATGTTAAACGAAATAGACTAGGTTTGTGTTCTTTTCTTTCCCTCTGTATAAAATACATAAAAAAACCCATTGTGTGTGTTTTCTTTGAAGATTTTACTTTAACATGAAGACCTTGTCTACTCCATCATCCCTTTAATTGCAGGTAAACCATCATCTACCCATATCACTTCATTTAGACAAACTTTGGTCTAAAATTTGACACCTTTTGTATAGAGAATTTAATATACATATCTTGCTTTTTTCCTTGATTATAAACCCTTGTAATCTTTGTTATATAATAAGTGAAATAATAAAACACTATAAAAAATGGTGAAAAGGACAAGAAGATGGAGACGGTTTATCTTTGTTGCTACTTACCTTTTATGGTTTTTCAAATTCTCTCTATTTTTCTACTTTTAAAATACTCTCGAATACCCGGTTCTTTGGTGACCCTTTGGTAATCCTGTCTCTCTCTCTCTCTCTCTCTCTCTCTCTCTCTCTCTCTCTCTCTCTCTCTCGTGATTGGTCACACGTCACAGATCCACAAATTTGGTTTTTTTGTTTTCTCTTAATCAGGTTTTCACTTTCTTTTGTAGGTCAACATGAATGAAAAGTACTATCGATTGGAATAGACAAAAAAAGGGTACTACGATTGAGTATTAACATTTTTTGTGGAATCTGTGTATTTTTATGTATGAACATGTGTGTTTATATGTTCAATCTTAGGCTTGAGTTATGAAATCACGATAAGATAAAAAGTAATTGCATCATCTGACGATGACTTGATCATGTTCTATGTGACTGATCAATCTAATAACGTTTGAGAGATTAATGGCTTAGTTGTTGGCTTCCAGCTACTGTTGTTGCTAATGGCTGATGATTTATTATGAGCTGATGTTGGTAATGGTTCATTATTTTAGTTGCACTTGACACTTATGTTTTGTGAATTGTGTCTTATAGGGCTAACAACATAAGGAAATAAGAACTTTTGATTCAAATGGATGTTGATGATCTTGAGGAGTATGCTCAGATTCCACCAGGGTATGCAATATGAACCCATTTCCATTTTTTGAATCTTATTTCTATTTTCACATTGGATTTGACCATTATAGGCATCCCCATATGATATTGAATATGAATTATGGGATCATATAGACATTAAGCATCTCATTTGTAGTTCACAGTTAGGTTGTCAAGTTGTGTAATTTTCTTAACAATTTTGTCCTTTTTTGTTACTGTTGCTAATTATCGATTTTTCAGATGCAACAAAGGTCTATTTTTCCCTAATACACATGAGCCATAATCAAATAAAAATCAATTCCCGAGCTTTTTCAAGAAAGGCTAGGCAACAAGAAGATAAGATGGTAATCTGGTTACACTAGGGATGTCACAAGATGATGGTGTTAGATCTAGGTTCCCATTGGAAGACTAAAGGTTGGTGAATTTGTTAATGACCCTTTTATGCTCTAGAGCTTTCTCTTATGGTTGGCAATATTGGCCTATCTAATTATACGGGAAAACCTTTTTTTTTTCATATTTTAATAAATTACCCTTGGAACTTTATGCTATTGATTCTCTCTTTCTAATTAAGGCATCATACTTTGAACTTTTTTTGCCCAATCATAGCATTGTCCTATCATATCAGGAACCAATTGTACGTCGATTTTATGACGATTGGAAAATTTTATAATGTATATTGGTCTTTGACATGCTATTTATTAACAAGAACTATTTTCTCCAATACACAAAAGGTCACAAGTTCTACCACTTATTCGGCCGATACATAGCTGATTCTGAAATCCCTAAAGAATTTGTTGTACTATTAACTAGTGTGTAAATATTATTTGGGTCATAGGGTCTATGCAATGTTTTTACTATGAAAAAAATAATAATAGATTTTTAAAGTAATAACCTAAAGCATAACGAGCCTTTTTATTTTGACAATTGAAAAATTAAAATTTCTAATAATCCCAAGAGAGTTGGGCAAAACCTAAAATTACAAAATGTAAAGCTATAAACATCCCTTTCCTCCATAATTTTTAAAGTTCTATTTTATGATAACAAATAGTCATAACTAGACATATAACATAAAAATTGATAAATGAGTATTTAAAAATAATTATAATAAAAAACCAATGTTTCAATAGACTAATATTAAATATGAACAAAAAGATTGGTCTAAAAAAAGACTAAGACCAAATTGTTCTATAATGAAACCATACAAAAAATGTTGGTGGTAAAAAATAAATGGCAGGACCGTTTCAAGTTCAATCGCAAGAAACATATGAACCTTTTGAGACCGACCAAAAACTGGATCAAGACTGACCTGAGACTATATAAAAAAAAGAATCCAAAGACATGATTGAGCTAAAACAAAAAGAACTTGGATCTAAACAAAATGAACACACGTAATGATCTCAAAACCGAACCGAAAAAGACCAGATCAGACCACATCAAGACCGGCTCGAAAAAAGATCAGACATAGGAAAACATTTCACGACCGGTCTGAAAAGGACCATACCGTTTTATGATCAGACCATTTTGCGATCAAATCGAGACCGATCCAACACCACTAATGTGTAGGTCTAAATAATATAATGTTGGCTTAATGGATTAAGAAACCATTTACAATTTTTAGTTTTATCAAATTGATTAACAAAAAAACAATAATTAAAAATACATACATAAAAGATTCTCTAGGTTCGGTTTTTCAAATCTAAAAGAAACAAGAAAATGGTTTGGTAGCCAACACATGAGTACGGGTCATACATGTTTCTGATTCGTATATTTTGAGCACCTCCATTATGTATGTTGCAATTCCGTTAATTATTATATTGCATGGGTATCATGATATTGCATATAAACTGTTCACATAATCCCCCACGCAAACTGTAATCACTGAAACGAAAATATTCACCGAAATAAAACTAATAGCGCCGAGAGATTAGACTGCATAGATTACATGTGTAAGGTAAACAAGTGTAGAAACTAATTTCTGAAAAACTATTTGTACCCGTCGCTTGACGCGGGTAAATGGCTAGTATATATATATATATATATATATATATATATATATATATATATATATATATATATATATATATATATATATATATATATATATATATTCTAGGTTATATGATCTCCTAGACTTCGCTGCATGCCCGGGAAAGTGCCCTAGGAAAAGGTAAATTTTTATCTTAATATTTTATTATTTTATATGGAGTATACAGACGGCGAGAAATAACAAGGTTTTTTTTTTCAAATATCTCCTCCCCTACTACGATGGCCGACAATGTTATCTAATTATCCTGAACATGGTGTAAATCTACAGGTGGGGTTGAGGTCACAAATTGGGTGCAATGGTGTTTCAATCCCTTATCTATTACATAGTTTCTTGTATTTGTAAATATTGTACCTTGTTTGCCCCCGCTTTAGTTTTTTTGCTAAGCAGGGTGCCTTTTATTTATATATTTCGTTGTTTTAAAAAAAAGATTGATTTTAATGACAAATGATTGTTGCCAATAGTAATGACTTGTAAGGTATACTCTCATTCAGCCTCCAGCTCCAGCCCAGGCCCAACACTATCTTATATATGTGGACCAACTGTGAATGAATGTATATAATAATTGAAGTTTTGATAAAGTTCAAGGGACCATTTAAGTAATTTTCCAACTGCCTTTTTGTTTTTGCATAAGACCCGCCAACTAAACGAACCGTCTTCGTCAATCTAAGCCTACATACACTCTCTGTTACCCTACCAGGTCATCATCAAAGGTGCTCCTTGAAAGGATTCTTGGCACATATCAACTTGTTAATTTGATCACCCATATTATGATCATTAGTTTTTTGTTCTATCTATTTTGATCGTATTGTATTTCTGTTTTTTCGTTCAATTAACCTAGGGTTCCTTAATCTACTTTTGCATTCCTCCCGCATCTTGTTCTAACATGTAAGATTTCTTATTTCCTATAATGTTATTTGAATCTTTTTGTTAGTATATGCGTACCATATTTATCTATAGTTTCGTTTAATGATAAGTATTGGATTTGTATCCAAGTTTCGTATCGTATCAATCATTTAATTAGCAATACATGAAACTGATAACATCATTGTCTAAAAAATATGCAAAAGAACTGGAAATTCTGATGAGAGTTTTCTTCGCAAACTTTCAAATCAAACATTACATTTATCACTTCTAAAGTAGGATTAATTAATCCATATTCGGACCAACTCTCTCATCAATATCTGTGTTATTGCTATGTCAGATCTGGTGAGCAGTTTATATTGTTATCTAAGCAACTGAGATTGTGCTTGTAGGAATCATGATGATTTAGGGTTAGCCTCATTGCGTTATCTTACAAGTTTTGGAGTTAATCTGCATAATATTTGTAGATGATGATGTAACAAAATATTTGTTTCGATGTATATTGTTCAAGATACATCAAGTCATTTAATCTAATCACAAATTGATTAGCTTTTCTTGAGTTATTTGTGATAAAATCTTGATGTTGTTGTAAACTGTATGTGTGCAGATATTGTTGGTTATATCAAAAGAAATCAAAAATGGCTGGAGCTCCACCTGGGACTGCAAAAATGATCATCAAGGAAAGAGGTATTGGCATGGTGTTGGGTTACATTTGTGGTGTTGCATGGAAATACACGTATCATAAGGACCTGACCAGAAGGACCAAATCCTTCTACCACATGCTCGATAAAGGTGAGATCTTAGTGGTCGTTTCAGAAGACTAATTATTATTCTATCCGCATAGCATTCTAAATGGTGACTTCTAATAAGCAATATTTTTGTTGGTTTGAATCGTTTACCTTTGTGGACACTTTTCCTGAATTGAAAATTGTAAATAAAAGCACAACCTTGTATTGGTTGCTTACATGAGATGAGTTCTGGTGAGATCTGATCATCTACTTTGGTTCTTTTTCTTGTGATTTTTTCAAAGTAAAAGGGATAAAACATTATAATAAACAAATAAATGAAAAAGAAGACATAATACGGAAAGTCATAATGTACTTAAGTAGAACACTGTAATAAACAAATTAATGAAAGTAAGTAGGTATTTCTTGCTTTTAAGTTTTAACTCATTTTAACAGCAAAACGATTTGATTTGCTACTTGAAAATTTAAAGACTTTTGATGTTCAACAAGCTTTTGTTTAATCTAGTAAGCTTTATATGATTGTATTTTCTTTGTTTAATACAGAAAGTATTGAAGAAAGTAGAACACTATGATAAACAACCAACTACAATACATAGCTATTTCTTGCGTTTCACTCATATTTTTCAAGAAAAAACGATTCGATTTGCTAGTTGTAAATTTAAAGACTTTTGATGTTTAACAAATTGTTGTTCTATATATGATTGTATTTTCTTTATGTTATACAGAAAGTCATGATGATAGTAGAAAAATATAATAACCAACCAATCAAAGTAGGTAGCTATTTCTTGCGTTTCACTCATTTTTTCAAGAAAAAACTATTCCATTCACTAGTTGTTTATCTAAAGACTTTTGATGTTTAACAAGCTGTTGTTTAATGTCGTAAGCTATATATGAGTGTATTTTCTTTATTTAACACAGAAAGTCATGATGAAAGTAGAACACAATAGTAAACAACCAATAGAAGTACGTAGCTATTTCTTGCATCCAACTCATTTTTAAGAAAAAACAATTCCATGGGCTAATAGTAAATTTAAAAGCTTTGGAAGTTTAACATGCTGTTATTTAACTTTGCAAGTGTTATATAAGTGTTTTCTTTATATTAATACGGAAAAGAAGACTTAATCCGGAAAGCCAGAATAATAATACTTTCTCTCCAAGTCCTACAATTTTACAAATTTGCCATTGTAATTCCTTATCAAGAAAGCAGTTAATAGGAAAGAGAGAAACAAGGCCCAAATCAAATTCACTTGTAATGATGGACTCGGACTCGGACTCTATGAACCAAGTCCACAATGGAGCCAGCCATTAACTTTATTAAAAGTAAAAGAAACTAATTTTAATTGTATGAATGCGGCAACAAGCGATTCATTGTAATAAAATATTTTCTTATTTTGCTAATGTAAAGGTAAAGCATAATTATATTTTTGATTTTTCTTAGGAGTGATCATAAGTATTATGAGAAGTTGACTCTGAAGTCAATCTTGAAAATATTGCTCTGAAAGTTAAAAAACACAAATACGTGAGTAAATTACAAAAATATTGTATACGCTATAAACATAGCTACACTACTTAATAATAGAGTTTGACTAATTTTTTGCATCTATGGTGGTGCAACTAACCCCTCCTGTAGAAGAAAAAGAAAAGTTTCACATATAGTATGTGTTGCAAAAGACACCTTTTTTCATACTTAGTGACACAACAGTAGAAAAAACGAAAAATACAAAAATTTGTACACTACGTCCGAAGAAACAGGGGTTGTCGATGCCACTATAGCTCCATAGTGGAACCGCCCCTATTTAAGTAAGAAATTTAAGGGGTGTTAATTACACTTAGGGAACTGAACTCTTTTTTTGAATGACAAATAAATTAATTAAAGACTTGCTAAAGGCTAAAAAAAGATTCTAAACAAGAGGGCTCCAAAAGCCAATTATACTAGTCGATAACCATTGACATCTATTTGAAATCCATACAGACGAAAGAAGCTTGACATCATCAAGAAGAGATGTGCTTCAAAGTTTTTTAGTGAACCATCATGATAAAACAAAACATAGTTTGCACCTAATACAACGAAACATTGTTTACAAAAATGACTAAGATTTCACCGGGACTACCATCCTCGAAAACGACGAATATCGGATAAAGAAGTACAATTGATGTTCCACCAAACATTGATTCAAAGTGATCTAGTGAAGGAACAATACATGAAAACATGCTTGATTGCTTGTTGATTTCAGCATATACATTGTTGGTGATTTAAGTGTTATGAAGTCATTTAGTATGATCGAGATTGACTTGAGATAAGCAGAGTTCAACTTTAGCTATAATGCGAGCATGGAGGTGCGGAGTGCACGTTCGGATAAACTAAAATGACTTCCGGAACATGGGGTCCAGGGTAGCACATCTGGTTGGGTCCAAAGAGCAGAGCCCCCTGGTGGCAATCTTGCCAAAACCCGAAACAAGATGCATATAGGATACATATATATGTTTGTTAAATTCTCCCGCTAAAACCCAATTGTTGTGTTTATTGGGACAAACACAACGTCCCACAAAAAATAACCGAATTTAACTATCTAGTGTCTTTATAAGTATAAAATTTGGTTATTGCAAATATAATTTTATTCTGTTATCTTTATAAGGAAAAGTTTATGTCCCAATAGATATCATTTTCTTCTCTTATCTTTATAAGGAAAAGTTTACGTCTCAATGAAACATAAAAGACAAAGCAAGTATTTTGTGTTTGAATCATAGATTTTGCTTGATATCTAGATTGCATTTTTCTTGATTATCCTAAATTGGTTCTATGGTACGCTAGATAATATGGTTAAAATAAAATATTTTATACGTGATCATTGAATTTATACAAATTATCGATTGATATTCTGACCCATAATCTAACGTAATGTAACACCCGTTTCCCAGAATGGTTCAGTGGATGACATAGAGGAATCAAATGCATGATTTTTTGGAGGAAAAACCATATGCCACAGTGTGGCGCATGGAGTGCCACGATGTGGCATGCTTCTGAAAAATGTGCATTATCTTGAGTGCCACTCCGTGACAAGGGTATGGCTACAACGTGACATCTGTTGTAGCCCAAGCCCATGAACTTTTAGGGTTTCTCCCATAATTAAGCACCTTAATTTAAAGTTACGGAATCCTTTTCAACCTCCAACCTTCATTTCGAAAATCTTAGCCCCCTTTGAGTGTTCTTGGCCATTTGAAGACTCATTTCTCATAATTTGGTGTGGAGCTTGAAGACCAAGTTTCTTGCAAAGTGTTTTGGTGAAGATCTGAAGTGTGGATCTAACAAAGGAACTTTATTTCTGGACCATTGTGAGTAAAAAGCTTCCATCTTGACCTTTAATTTGCTAGATCTTGTAGTGTAATCATTTATGTCCCTTTTGGTCATTGTGAGCTTGTGCTTTGGAGTTGAGTGAACTCCAACACCTCTTGACCTTATTATATCACCTCATAATCTTGTTGAACTGGGAAAGTTTACATCTTGATCTTGTTCTTGAAGCCATGCATGTTTTGGAAAGGTTTCATGCTATTATGGACTAAGGATCTGGGATCTTGTCTTGTGGTGAGATCCTAATGGATAAAATTGGAAACTTTATCCATTAAGTCATTGTAAAGAGTAGATCAGAAGTTTTGAGCATTGATCTTATTGGATTACGTTCTTAATGAAGTTTTGGAGAAAACTCCCAGTTCCCATGACGTGGCCAAGGAGGGCTCACGACGCGGCGAGGCCTAATTTCGTTACTATTTTGTCTGTACATGCCCACGACGTGGACAGAGGTCTCCACGTCGTGGTGACAGTTGACTTGGTTGACCGTTGAATTTTGTTGATCGTTGACCTTTAACTTTTGAACAGTTTGACTTGGAGTCAAACTTGGAGGATTTGGGTTGTTGATTGAGGATTCATCTCTTTGGTGATTAGTCGGTTCATGGGATTGAGCAGTGCAAGGAGTTATAATGTTGCAGTGTTTTTCCGGTTCTTCCGACCAGGTGAGTTTCTTACTATACGACATACTCCATTGTATATCCTCTGCATGGTAGGACAGGTGTACTGTTAGAGTACAAGTATGTTAGTTATCTAGGATAAGTTCATGTTATGGTTTGTAGTTTAGAGCACTTGGTGTATGGGTATGCTAGAGTGGTACAATCTCGCTTGTGGATCGTATGATACTACTAGGGTTATGTTGGTAGGGTAACTGGGGAAGGCCAATCACCAGGATAATGTGTGAATGACCAGCAAATGACTTAATTGATAACTAGTCAATGACATGGTAACTACGGAAGGCTAGTTGTCAAGGATACGTAATATGCTAGTATTATATTATGTGTTTATGTTACATTATTATGTGGTACAATTTGGTAGCTTCAAGAACACTTCATTAACTCGAGTAGGCCTAGGATTGTGCCTTCATGACCATGATGAAAACCAATCTCGGAATCACTAATTATGGTTAGATTTGGAAAAAAATTATAGGGAACCTTATATAAAAAGAATATTGTTGGACAAAACTTCCTTCCTGAAATTTAATCCTCCTCATATAGCCAATGTAAATAGTAATGTATTTTTACAAGTTAGAACCTCATATATGATAATAAAAAAGTACCAGTTAAAAAAATATTTAAAGACCTAGTGAATGTAAATAGAATCTAACAAGGAAGACTCCAGAATTCTAAAAAAAGCGACATAAATACTAAAAAGTAAGGGCATCAATAATGCATTTGAACTCTATGAATTTTAATGGATTCTTACACCATTATTCTACCTTTCATAAAACTCTTATCATTTTTTTTATTACAATGCATTTAACTCTACCAAACTTCAATGAATATTTATTATAAGATTAAAAATGTTTCCTTAATTTCTCATTGAAGAGTTTAATAGTCATTGGACTTCCTATCCATTGAATGCCAACATGACATCCAAATATTGTTAGGTTTAATCCATTGAACGACAACTAGGTATTCCACCTCATTCAACTCTTTTCATTAAATTATGGTTGGTAGATGCTCTAAATTTCAAGCTAATTCCCAAGTACAACTAGCTCGAGAGTTTCAAGTTATCTCCAATCTCCCACCTAGAACAAACATGCTTATAGATGCAACCTGATATACATGTCAACCTATAATATTAGGCTCTACAAGCACATTAAGATATATAGGGGCTCGACTCCGTATATCGTAAGAACTAGAATTTATAAGAAAACCTTATTTAAATAATCATA